ATATATATATATATAACCTTATGGTCATTTTTGCAATAGTAGTTTATAAGGAAGAAACTAACACCCATTTCACATATGAGATACTTGAACCTGAAAGAGTTCAAGTGCTTTCCAATTCCATATTCTTTCCAAACACTAGGCCCTGCTAAGTTTTCTGGGAACTGCAACATTCTGAAAAATACCACCTCATCACCATCCACTGCAGGGGAAGGGCCAGATATCTTCACTGCCTGTTGAACTTATGCCTGGGGAAATCTGCCTTCATTTAGGTGTAGGAAGGATTGATATTGAAGCATGCTGAACCTGGGTTTCCACTATCCAAAATTGCACTGTGTGGGAGGCAGCCAATGACCTTTTGAAAGGGTCTCATGAGGACCGTCTAGCTAAACTTTTCCTTGCCACATATGTTGCTTTGATGTGACCCTCAGTGTGATCAAGGGCACCACCAGTGGTAACAGATAATACTAGGTGCAGGGGAAATATGTGCCTCTAGCTTGCTGAGTACTTAGTCAAGCTCGTTTTTTCTTTCAATGTCATAGCAACAATAAATATGTCTTGAAAGGTACTTTCTTTATAACCTACAATAACTCTTTTATCATGTACCGGTGTTTTTCACATCAATTTTTTACTATTTGATTACATTCTGGGACGTTTTCCTATTTGGGGTGGAACATCAAACAGAGCAGAAAGGTTAAGCAATTCTAATGCTCTGGTGGTTTATGAACAGCAGTGCAACCAGCAGAGGACATCACTCTTTTAGTTATTTTCTAATAACAACCGTGAGCTTGAGTTTCCAGCGGACTCCCTTGGAGTCCTCTGAGCAGCTCTACAAGTTAGGTGAGTCATTATAGTTGTGTCAGCTAATTGCCTGGTATCTAAGGATGGGTTTCAGATAAAGGATTTGGAATGACATAGTGGAAAATAGAGTTTGGACAAAGAGCCCCAGATGTCCTATAAGTAGAAAATATTGCTTAAATGGTTCTTTCATGAACTCAGGGAAGAGCAGTCTGTGTTAAATTAGTGGCATTTTCCATCCTCTGGAAGGGGAAAGAGGATCATAACTGTCACAGTTTGTTACTATCTGATCATCAGTTTAATAAGAGAATAGCAGAAACCAAACTGCCTTCGGAAACCTCCAGATGCTCTGAGTCAGAATTCCAACAAAGCGAGCGGGCTCCGGAATTGAATCAGCCAGGCCGCGGCCCTGCTCCCCCTCCCCCTTCTGAACCGAGGGCAGCCTCCTTCAAAAGTTACACAAAACTCCTCGGAGAAACTAAAGCATCTAATGTGAGAGCTACGCTTCACAGTGAGTTCCTCTTCCTCGGCATTCAGAAGCCCCCACGCCGGGGCAAGATGCTCCCAGGATGATACCTAAGGGGGGAATCACAAATCGGCATAGTAGATCGACTGAAAAGGAACATCGGGGAAACCTGCCCCTATTAATTGCTTTTCTGTTGCTGTGATCAAACACTATGACCAGAAGCAATTGCGGGAAGGAAGTTTATTTGGGCCTCTGGTCCCAGAGTGTTAGAGCCCATGGCGGTAGGATGAAAGTGGCTGGCAAGACAGCAGAGAGGAGCAGGACTGAGCGCTCCCACCTTCAACCACAAACACGAAGCAGAGAGAGTGCACTGGAGGTGGGGTGAGGCTAGGAACTCTCACAGCCCACCCCACGACACACTTCGTCCAGCAAGGCTGTCCCACCTGAAGATTCCATGACACCCTCTAAACGGTGCCAGCAACTGAAGACCAAGCATGCAAGTACTTGAGCCCATAAGGGACATTTCTCATTCAAACCACCATGCCACCCAAGGCTCATATTTCTTAAGACAACCAAATATGGGGGGAAAAAGCAAGTACTATGAGAGATAGAGTCCAAGATCAATAAAAAGACAGGGGCAGGGTGGGGGTCAAATTGCAATAATTGGAGGAACAAAGGGTTCTTTAAAAGCTGTATAAATTAAACTTACACATATGTTTTAATTAGTACCTTCAAGAATTCAAGATCCTCATAAACTAAAAACAAAAGATGATTAAAAAACAAGCTGAGGTAGTAGAGTTTAAAAACGTTTTTTACAAAGTGTGACCTATTTCCGATCTCTAGGAACCTGTCTCTGAACAATTCCTTTCTAAGCCGAGCCTGGCAAGCTGGTGGTCCCAGCCCTACCCACTGTTCCCCACCACTGACCCCCAGAGACCCTTGCATCAGCTAAACAAAGCCCCCCTGTGCCTTGTTCTTGTTTCGTATTTTATCTACCGTTTCTGAACGCAGCAAAGCACGGTTTACTATGCCCGCTAACTGGACTTCAAGTCCCTACTTCACTGTTTCTAGTTAAAAATTTTAAGATCACTGCTGTGTACAGCATATTGAATAGAAACTTAATGAAGCCAAAAACCATTCTTATGCACAAGTTTTAACAGTACCGTTCTGGCTCATCAATCTCCTGTCAACCATTCAATCAGATTCTTCTGTGTAATTCAAGAATCTGTAATACTCTGATCAAACCTGCTCAGGTGTGTATATTCAGCCCTTTGACAAGAGTTCCTTCAAATTTGTAATTACTGGATCAAGGTCTATTACTTGCTGTAACCGGAAGAAAAAAAAAAACCACACAGCAGATACTGGCAGCGGACTCATTCATTCTAAGTAAAATACCCTTCTTGCACATAAGAAAAATCACGAGCTTTAGGATAGAAGACTTGATTACATGCTTTCTTTTTGGAAGAGTAGCTGCACTTCATTTTGATTCACTCTTGAAAAAAATTGAGTAATTAAACAAAAAAATTATTATTTTTATTTTGTATGTATGAACATACTGCCTGCATTTATGTAAGTGCAGCCATGCTGTGCAGTGCCCACAGAGGTCAGAAGAGGGCATCAGATTCCCTGGAACTGGAATTACAGACAGTTGTTAGCCACCATGTGAGTGCTGGGAATGGAACCCAGGTCCTCTGCAAGAGCAGCCAGTGTTCTTACCTGATGAGCCATCTCTCCAGCCCCAAAATGGAGTAATCTGAAATATCATTTAGAATAGTTTTGTAACTATTAATGCCAGGCACTGATGGATAGGAGATTTTTGTTTTCTTTTTCAACTATTGGACTTTTCTTGTGGACTTTTTCAGATACAATTGATTGGTTAAGCGTTTATAGGCAAATATCACTGAATTCCTCCCCATAAAAACCAGTGAATCAACCCTGAACTGTACAAAGTGTAGAGTGACCACATGGCAGTTTAATTATGGGAAATAATTGTTGGGTTATGGATTGGAAATCTAATCCCGCTGTTCTTTCAGGAATCAGATCATAGGAAACATTAGGTGTGTTATTAACAATATTTCTGCTCCATGTGCCCTGTTGGGGTACATTGCAATTCATTTTCAAATCCAGAACAACGTGGATTTAAATAATTGTATGTTTCTTTTAATTAAAGGCTTAAAATGCATACACTATAGAAATTTCAGCAAGCAAGAGATGGGAAAAAGAAAAACTGCCATATTGTTTCATTGCTTATTTTATCTCAGTGGGTTTGTGATAGTTTTTCACATGGATTTGACCTACAGTCACTTTCCCAGAATGCATTAGCTTTGCACTCAGCTTCAAAAAATCAAATCCAGACTGAGTTTAATTTCTTTGGGGCATTTTGCCTGCTCCTTTTGTAAAGGAGCATGTAGAAAAAATAGCAATTACCTTATTGGAGATTATTTCTACTCTAGTCAAATTTTTTTTGGCTTTTTTAGCAAAAGAAGAAACCGGGGAGAGGATGC